GGAAGGCATCTTCGCAGGGAGGTGTCCACAGGGCACAAGTTGTGACAATATGGCTGCTAACAGATACTGGCTATTGGAATGTAAGGATATTTTCACTGCTGGTAATTTCCATATTGACCCTAAAAGATAAATTTAAAAACAGAATTAGATAAGAGCTTTACCTAAGTTAGTTTACGACAGAAAATTACAAATGTAATTCATAATGTTAACATATCAGGAAAGCAAATATACATCCGGTAAGTTCAAACTTTTATTTATTAGGCATTATCACTCTAATTTTCCTGATATTATGTTCAACTGCAAATGAACCTTGCAGCCTAAATTACAGACAGGATTAGGCTTCAAAGCCGGACCTGGCGGCACACACCTGTAACCCTAGGATTGTGGGGATGGGAACAGGTATGGAGACAGGGGTGGGGCAGGAGTTCTGGGTTCTGTGCTGAACACAGGCACATTCATACTTAAACAGTAAAACATCCTAAAAGGGTAACTGCCAGTCTCCTGTAGTTCAGTGCTCAATGTTAAAGAACCTAAGCCCAACACTGAACTCAAGTTCCAACTCTGCTGCTGCCTTTGTCTTTGCCTAAAATACTCAGAGATGCAATGCCCTCATCCATGAACCGAGAAAATATGAGCTACAGCTGGAGATCACAATTTCCTTTTCCTCCAGGGCTGTACTATTATGACCCTAACAAGACAGGACATGAGAAAGGGTTTTCACAATGAGCAGGGTGACGTGGTTTATGTCTGCAGTCCAGGCCACTATGGAGGCCAGAGAGGGCTGCTTCAGTCTAGAAGTCTGAGACCAAGAATATGATGAACCTTGTCTGAAAATAAGTAAGTTACCTTATTAACTGATTATGTAACACACCAAGTCTCGATACTGGTTAGAAATATTCCCCTGTGCACGTGTGACGTTGGATACTAAAGATGAAAGTTTATGTATACAATGGCTGGGAAGGAGCCTGGTGAGAAGGCTCGGCAGTCTTGCCATGAGGCCTGAGACCGAGTTCAGGATCCAGAGTTGGAAGGAGAGAGTAACTCCCACAATGGTCTGATCGCTACAGGTGTGCCACAGTGACAGTATGCCCACGTGAGTGTGTGCACACCAGTAAATGTATAACAAGGTTTTTGTTTCTTTTCTCTCTAGGAGAAGACCTTATTCATTTATTTCCACTACATTCACTAACAGTTTCCAGAGGCTCGTCTAATTTGTTTTACCTATCTGAGATTGCTGTCCTGTGTTGTCTGTACAGTGGGCCTGAGTACAAACGCTTCTTGTGTTTTGTGTGAGTGGTGGGTACAGGCCAGGAGGCAAACCTATCTGGACTGGGAAAGCGCTTGGCTTTGTCAACAGTGCACGTTCCCAATGCTCTCCATTGCCCTTAGTGTAAGCTCTGGAAAGCCATCGAGTGGGCTATTCTGTCACACTGAGCTGCTGTCAATTAGGAGGGATTGACACCTGGTAACTGTCTAGTTCCAGGCTGCAAGTCCTGAAGGAGGCAACAGACGGGTGCTCACTCATCTACCATGTAACTTACACATTCAGGGATGTAGATGAAAAAAGTAAATGTCTGTGTCCATATACTTAGACCTGGCTTGTCAGGTACGTTAACTGAAACTGTAGACAGCCTTATCACAGAATACTAGTTTGTTATAAGAATTGCTTATAATCACAGTAAGAGCAAACATCAAAAGTTATTGCCAATAAGAGAAGTCCAAGTGGGCTTTCAAGGTGGCTTAGGAAGTGGCATCTGCTGCCAAGTGTGATGACCTGAGTTCTATTTCCAGGACCCACAAACAGAAGAACCGACTACTACAAGTAGTCCTCTGACCTCCACACATTATTGCAGTTAAATAAATTTAAACTATGTAAAAAGGTAAAGAAGTCTCCGGGCGTTGGTGGCGCACGCCTTTAATTCCAGCACTCGGGAGGCAGAGGCAGACGGATCTCTGTGAGTTTGAGGTCAGCCTGGTCTCCAGAGCGAGTGCCAGGATAGGCTCCAAAGCTACACAGAGAAACCCTGTCTCAAAACAACAACAACAACAACAAAAAAAAACAAAAACAAAAAAGTAAAGAAGTCAGATAACATATAAGGTTCCCTTCTCTTCTGTAGTGATAGGAAGTCTATCAGTGGACATCTAGGAGGGGACGGGTACAGCAGGAGGTTTAAAAAGTAGCACAGAAACTTTGGGGCATATTGAAAACTTCATTATTTTTGTTTAGATGATGATTTCATAGGCATATATAGGTAAAATTTATTAAACTACAATTTTAGTGTGTGGTTTGTTAAATATAAGGTATGTAAATCAGGCCTCAAGAAAGCTATTTTGTGTTTTTTGATTCAGTCTGATATAGAGCAGGCCTCCAACTTACTATGTACCCAAGGATGATCTTGAACTCATGATCCACTGTGTCTCAATCTCCCCAGTACTCAGATTACAGGTGTCAAGCATTACCCCTGGCTATTTCAAAATATAGAAAGGAAGACCAAGTAATCCAGTGTTGGGCATTCACTACGGTAGCCATCTGACAAACCAAGTTGGGAGGGACTGCAGGTAGAGGGGAGTTTCAGATAGAGGGAGCTGCAAACAAAATGGTTCTTGGGTAGCCTAATGTCTATCAGAAAGAGCAAGAGGCCAATGTGATCAAAGAAGAGTAAGGAGGAGGCAACTCATGTTGTGAACACACACTGCTGAACTGTATGGAGGAGACTAGAAAGAAGTCACCCTTCCTGGGCCAACACAGGAGTAACCCTAAACCTCCATGAGACTAAAGCCACCCTTGAGGGAAGGCTTGGCTGCTGTTATTACATGATCACTCCAGGTCCGATGTGGACAACGGCAGGATAGAATCAAACAAATGGGTGACAGGGGATTGCTGACTTGAGATAGAGAAGGTTTGAAAAACAGCCAGCTACTGATATACTTTTAAGGAAAGGGTTTTGAGGTTTGTTGCTTGGCTCAAAGTTCAACTACCAAAAGAGCGGTGTATAAGCTCAGGGTGACTCAAGGTTGTCAACCCAAGGAACTGGTTACAGAGACGGAGAACACAAATGCTCCATGAAGAAGCATTCGCTCCCGATTTCCCTGCTGTAAATGTATCTGCCTGAACTATATAAACTGCCATAACAATTATATCACTACTGGGCTGAGGAATTTGCTTTGGTTTTCATTCCTTCATCCACCCTCAAAAACAAACAGATCACAGGCTAGACAGGCAAGGCAGCCTGCCTGTAAACCCAGAGCCAGAGCACAGACAAAGGATCCTACAGCAAGCTGGCTAGCTAGACAGAGGAACTGGTGTGTGCTGGGTTCTGGTAAGCGACCCTGCCTCAGTATATGGACACATGAATACACACCACACACAAATTTAAAAACCCAACAGATCAGCAGGTATTTTCTACAGGATTACTCAGTGACTTACCTAATGCTTTCTCATCTGGCAAGTCTCAGACCAACAGGTGTATTTTGTGTAGGACTTTGACTTACTACATACCTAAGCGTTCTCATCTAGCAATAAGAGGGAAGAGCTGCACAGGCAAGAGAAGTAGGAGAGTGATACAGACACTAAAGACCTGTAAGTGTGAGAAAGGAGCAAGTGCCAAATGCTAAAAGAAGGAAGCTAGAGACAGCTGCTCTACAAGCCCTCAGCATCCCATCTTACCTGCCCAGCATGTGTGCAAGAACCACAGGCATATGACTCAAGTCTAACCTTTTAAAATGTTCGAGTTTGGAATAAATCAAACTCTCTTATCAGATTTTTAATTTTTAAAAAATTGTCTTCAATTATTTGTGTGTATCTGTGTATGGGTCTATGCACATGTATACAGTACCCATGTGGCAGAGTTGGAATCCCCTGGAACTGGAATCACAGGTGACTGTGAGCCACTGACATGATGCTGGAAACTAAACATGGGTCCTCTGCCATAACAACAAGTGCTTTAATAGCTGAGTCATTTCCCTAGTACCCTCAGCAGATCTTAAGTCAATTTAAACATTCAAGAATAATTTTACTATCCATACTTTGGCTCAGCAGTTAAGTAGCACTGGCTGTTCTTCCAGAGGACCTAGGTTCAATTCCCAGCCTCAACATGGCAGCTCTCCAGTTCCAGGGGACCTAGTACATTCTTTCTGATCTTCACAGGCACTGTACACACATGGTGCATAGACATACATGTGGGCAAAACACCTGTATACACAATATAAGCCAAAAAATAAACCTTAATGTATGCCCTCTACCCCAGCCCTGCCCTGTCAGTCTCTTGTACTCTTGTCTTTACTGAAGGAAGTGAAGTACAGGGGGCTGCAGGCAAGCATGGCACAGGGTAGGAAGGAAACACGGCTTGTGGCTCTAATGCTAGTTAATGTAGTATCTGGGCTGTTCCTCAAATGAGAACCCTACACTGGCCTCAGTTCCTCATTTAAAACTATACACAGTTCCATGTTCAAAAGTCCCCATTTTAGTACCTCACAAGTTGTGATTATATCAATGTCCTCACTGAAAAGTGACCTCACAAACCGGAAACATTACCCTAACAAGTGAGAACGGGCACTCATAAGTGCCTACATTACATACTACAAGTCTGAGGAGTTTAATTAAAAAGTGAACAACTTAGGTGAATACTACTAGTTCCAGGGAATCTTAGGATAAGATTCATTTCAACATCTGAAATCTAAGCGTAGAGAAAAAGCACTTGGTGATAGACTAAGCGGTGAAGTTCAAATGCAAAGAGCTCTGATAGCAAAGGGAGGAGCATGCCAGGTGAGCTGCCCTGGGGAGCTGAGAAACGCATGGGCCCCATGACTCTCAACAAAGGTGAGGGACTGCAGAGAAATAACTGATGGACTGTGTGCCCAAGGACAGTGAGCTGGGGTCTTATTTCAAGTTGTTTTATAAGTAACAGTAGCTATTATTGAACTGTCCTGGCATTCTAAAATACTTCAAGGTATTTTTACTATTTTGAATGAGATAGTGGCTAGCAAACAAGAGAAGGGGGCAATGTGTGGTGGTCCATGCCTGAAATTCCAGTTCCTGGAGGCTGGGAGTGGTAGATCATGAGTTCAAAACCAGTTTGGACAACACAGTGAAATCTTGCCTCAAAAATCAGTCAAACAAATCAACAACAAAGTGCCTGGAGATGAAGAACAGTGTGGTGACTTCACAGCTGATACCTAACTTACCTGGTCATACCCGTAAGGCCTCTGCTGTGGTGGCTGGGGTGGTCCCGGCTGTGTGGCTCTGTAGCCCCCATACTGCTGACCTTGACCCTGAGGATAATTAGGATACTGAGGGCCTGGACCGCCCTGGGAGGGACCTGTAAGACAGTTCATACCAACAAATGCTCAGGTAAAGTTATAATGAGTCTCCACAATTTCGGCAAGCATTACAAATGAGATGTAACTATATTCTTGTGTCTAAACTAAACAGGATAGTTTAGCACCCTGACTTTTTCAGAGTGTGCTGTGAAATAAATGTTAATGGTTGTAGTAAAAGAGAAAACACTGGAATGCTGCCTCAATGAAATTCGAGTGCTAAATGTACACATCAGGAATTGGTAAGACCAACTCAATACACCAGGGCAACTCCATGATAACAGTAAAGTAATTTCTGCATCCATCCGTGAGTTAGTATAACCAAGAAGCAGGTCCAAATAATGACATAATTTCTGAATAATGTTGGGGAAAATCAATGATATTTCTAACTGTGTGACTAAATTTATATTTGAAATTATCAGAATGGTAGGATTACACCACCATCAACTAACTTATCTCCCTAGTATTTTAAAACAAAAAGCCACAGGCTGTATGTGAAAAAATAAGTTACACTGAGGGCTGGAGATAGGACTCAGAAGTTCCGGGCACTGTCTGCTTTTGCTGAGTACCTGGGTTTGTTTTCTAGTACCCACATGACAGCTCACAACCATCTCCAGTTCCAAGGGATCCCCTACCCTTTTCTAACCTCCTGAAACACCAGACACACACATGGTGCACATTCATACACTCAGGCAAAACACTATGTAATACAACTAAATAAATCTTAGGAGAAAATTACACTCTAAGAATCAATCACTGTTAAGCAACGACCAACCAGAAGCAGCATAAGACTGATCCCACCTGCTCAGCAGGCGCTTCTATTTTGGAAACTCAACTTGTGACTACTGGGAACAATGTTTTCTCAAGCGGAAGCTGACAGCTTGGACACTTCAGTGTCTTCTCCCACAGCCACTTAAAACCTTCCATGAAAACAACGACTGCAGAGAATCTCAGGAGAGAATAATCAATTTCCAACCTCAAATAAATTCTACCAGATTATCCGATTATTGGAATTTCAGTAATTATAACTCTAAATGAGAAGAAAGTTTGACAAGGGAGGCCTATAAAGGAGCACAATGGGAAGGTCTCTGTTAGGGCTCCTGGTATTCAACAAAACAACATTTAATGAAAAATGTTCTGTCTTCTCCCAGTGAAAATATTTTTCACAAGTCAGTATATTTAGCTCATTTAGTGACATCAAACTTGTTCTCATGCAACTGCAATAAAATGTATTTGAAATACAAACATCATGAAAAGGAAACGCCATTTAGAAAGGGCAAAAAAGGTCTTTGGGAAGAGAAGAAAACCATGAACTACTTCTCATATATCTATGATGAGACTTCTCTTCCTTGAGAAAAGGCATGATGCCACCGAGAGTGTTAATGCACATGTTGAGGGGACAAAGGAATCTTGGCCTCAGCTAGGGTTCCTACTTCTCACCATAAGCAAAGATGGGGCCAAAAAACAGAGAACATCAAAAGTCTAAAGTAATTAGTTACTCAAAAAGAGGCTCTATCAGCACTGATGAGCAGCTGCTGAGGCATGCACACACCTCGTTCGCTATAGGCAAAATGGTTGAAGGAGCCTAAATTTAAGACACAGACAGACAGGTAGATTACCAAGTAAAATGACTTAAAGTCAGATGTTCTAATAGACTTTTGGTGTTGAAAGTATTAAGAGATTAAACACAAGGCCACAAGCACATCAGGCAGAGCAAGCAGACAGAGCTACAAATAGTTTATAGGAAACACAGCTGTATTTTCCCCTAAACTCTGTATGATGCACAAATTCAGTAAGTACACTCCTTAAGATGTGTGCCGTGCTTTCACTAAAATGACATGTCTCCCTCCCGAATTTTTTATTTAAATTAGAAACAAGATTGTTTTACATGTCAATCCCAGTTCCCTCTCCCTTTCCTCCTCCCCTGCCTCCCACTAACACCCTACCTATCCCATACCCTTTCTGCTCCCCAGGGAGGGTGAGACCGTCCATGGGGGGGGGGGGGGTCTTCAGAGTCTGTCATATCCTTTGGGATAGGGCCTAGGCCCTCCCCTGTGAAATGACATGTCTTTATGGATCTGAGTAAACCTTGCCTTTGCACTAAAAAGGTAATTTTTCACTAACAGTCACTATCATTTATCTAAGCTCATACAAAGCTACCCACTATTCATATATGTCCAACAGATCCGCAAATTCATGTCACCTTACCATTAAATTGTCTTTAGTCTGTGTGCTTTCTAAATGGATCATTAATTTACCTAAGGGGAAACACCTGTATGTTTGTGTCTGCGTTTACGGAGTGTGTTCACATGCATGTGCATGCTCATGCTAACCTCTGCTTTCTACTCTGAGGTAGACTCGCACTGGCCGATTCCTAAGTCTGGCTGGTTAGCAATGCTGCCCAAGGGCCCCCCTGTCCTTGCCTCTCCAGTGCCGTCATGAAGGATGGGTACTCTGAGGTGGGTGCTGGGAATCTGACTTAAGTCCTCATGCTTGTGTGGTAAATACGTTACCAACTTAGTTATTTCCCCATGCCTTTAAAAGAAACATTCAAACATGTAATATT